CTTCTGTGCGTAAATTTATAAAATAGTAAAAACATGCAAATTTTGCGACGATGGGTTATTTCCCGGGAGATCCTTGCTTGCTTGCGGGAATGCGGGAGACTCCCAGATTCCGGGAAACTCCTGTGATTTAAGGGAGGCTTGAGACCCCTGCATTTATTAGAATTCTTTTCTACTAATAGGCCTCAGGAAAGGTAACTGCACTATGTGATATTATGTTTATGACTGAGGATTAATAACCAATGGTTTTTATTTACTTTTCGCCAGCTGCCTTCCATGAAGTATCTGTCTATCCGAAGAAAGAGCTGCCATTTTTTATCTTGTTTACAGCCGGTCTGTGCACGTTCACCGCTCTCTTGGCCCTTCTCACTCACCAGTTCCCAGATCCAATGGGATTTCTAGCTAAAGCAGTGAGTACTTTAATAGTAATAATAATAATAAATATATTATGATAATAGAAACATTAATAACAAGAGCACTCAGTAGAGAGCATATCTCCGCCCACCGCAAAACCCTTTCTATAAAATAAACCTCCCAAAAAAAAGTTCCTAATTTACTTCAACCACTCATTTCCCCAACTCATTTCGCACCACTCCTCTTCAAAAATGCACAATGACTCACCAATTTCTTTCTATAAAATAATTCTTCAAAAATATGTTCCTACTTTCCAACCACCAACCACAATCTACTTTAAAAAAGTTACACTAACAAAAGTTACAGCTAATAATAAACAATCTGGCCAATCTCTTACTTTAAAAAAGTTACACTAACACGAAAGTTTCACTTAGATGAGTTAATTATTTTTTGAGATATCTGATCTGCGACGTTTTGCTTTGAAGGGTGCATATCTATCCGCACCAAAATCACCACATTTTTCAAACGCCTTCTATTGTATCAGTTGTACACCTGGCAATTCCTTACATGTTCTGATTTAACATACTAGCATGTTTTACCCTTTATAGCTGACAAACAAAATGCATGCAATGTATTGGTGTTGAAATGGAAGTATTATGGAAATAGAAATATGGGGAATTGGTTGTTAGCATCACATGTTAAAATGTAAAGATGCATTAAAAGTATTCCCAATAAGTTCCAAAAAAAGTACGCTGTACACATTTACTGTAATTACACTAATTTAAATATTCATAAAAACCGAAAGGTCTACTGATTAATCTCAGATAAGAAAGTATAATACATACTCCAAGTATTGAAATACACGCCATCGTGTTGGGATTCAATATTTCGACATTAATTAATTCGACATTAATTATGTCATCATCAGGGAAACATTGTTTCAGCCTACGGGTAATATGCTAAATTTTTCTTTAAATGGTCCTCATGTCCACAACGTACGTCGGATCCTGACCAAAATTTAAACACTTCTTTATTAAAACATTACAAACTATTATGGAAAGCATCATTTTCAACCATTGATTCAATCAAGAGATATTTAGGTGTGGGTTCTAATGGTCTTCACATGTACCCTCGTATTTGTATCGTCACCAGCACTTCACAATTTCTTCCTTTTAACTTGGTTAAACCTTTCACAAAGATTTCAATCATATCATTTGATTATTTTTGAAATTTCTGGTCTGTGATGTTTTCCTTTGAGTGGTCCTCATATGCACACCCTACGCTGGTTGGCCACCAAAATTTAATCACCGCATCCTTGGGTTATACCAAACAATCCCTGTAACTGGCATTTTGAATTATTTTGTACACAAGAAACACACAGGATCTCAAAAATTTAAATGACCCTCAAGTTCACCCCCTAATTTGGATCGTGACCAGCGCTTGATAATTTATTCCCTGTAACTTCTTTAAACTTTCAGGAAAGTTTCATTCATGCCAGTTGAAAACGAAAACACATATCTCCTGGCGGAGTTAATAATATTAATAGCAATAATTTTATATATAAAATAATAATATGTTAGACTTACATAGTGCTTAAAGCCAACAACGCCTCTAAGCGCTTCACATTGTTACCCCCATTCATTTGATTAAACGTCTATGGAACACAAACTCAAGCTCCCAAGCTGAGTATTCCATAATGTTGCATTAGCTACAAGAGCACATTTTTGGCATTTAACCCCTACCAGGTAGCCATTTATACTCCTGGGTGGAGAGAAGCAATGTAGATAAAGTGCCTTGTCCAAGGACACAAGTGAAATGCACCGCGAGGGATTTAAAGCCTGACCTAGAGGTTGGGAAACCAAGCGGTTCCCACTGCACCAAACCACTTCTTCATGATTATAATGATGATATGGTAATGATGAAATTAATTAGATTGATTGCTATATAATAATGGTGGTAATAATTATACTGAAAATTGATATTAGTAATAATTATACTGATGATTATAATAAAAGTATTTAATAATGATAATGGAAGTTTCATATTTGTTACAATTATTGTTGTTAATAATAATTTAATATAATTATCTACATTTTAAAAAACAAAGGCATGCTCTTCATATCCATACATTCATGGAAGAGTTTAATTGCAACATGGCATTGTTTTATTATCATTATTTTCTTGTTAAACAGTATTAAAGAGAATTGAATAATTGATTGATTCAAGGAAATGCCTAATTTGTTTTCATTTTCTATCTTTCACAGTTCCTTTCTTCAGTATCTGTTCCCTTCAGCTATTTGGTGGATAAACTGGAGACAGTAATTCCCTCCAGTTTACTGCAGCAACTGACAAAGCTCTAGCGCCCCCAACGGTCAAGAAGGGAGTACACAGCAAGATGTTGCCTAAAGACAGGGCAGGTGCTACACAAATTTGAAATTGTAGTTTCAACTACACTGCTTCTGAAATTTCGAAAATGAAATTGCTCTAATTTATTTTCTGTGAGGGTACTTAACCATAAAAAAGCACTTTGTCAAAACAATAAACACTTGGTTCTCAGTCATTAGTGCTACTTTTTAAAAATATTTATTACTGAAATGATGTGTGATGTTTTATACACATTTACTATTAAGTCATTCATGGAGTAAGAGGTTTCTCAAAATTCAATTAATTATCCATTGTTTTTCATGGTAAACCATTTAATTCAGAGCCCTCTCAAGATATCCTTTTAATGTGCAAATTATTTTTGAAATTAATCAACAATATTTTGAATCTGGACATAGGGAGTCTGGCAGCCAGTTGTTCTGTTACCTTTGGCAGGTAATACGGTGCACCAGGTAGTGTCTTAACACTCTGACCGCCGGGGGTTTGATAAAATGGTATCAGCCACTGCCAGACATTTTAGCAAATTTTAACACTTTTCTGAATCTTGTTGAGAGTGCGTATGTGATCAGATTTACATGAATAAATACGACAAGAACTACAAACATCATAGCTTGACAATGGTACCAAACACTTTATTCTAATCACAATCTGTGACCCGTAAAATGAAAATGACTCACTTCTGGAGATTTACGCAAGCTAGACAATTGCGATTTTGTGAAAGTACATACCGCTACACACAATGTAAACAAACAGATAGTGAAGTCCAGATTGAATATAGTGTTCAAATTGTTAGTACATATCGGTAATTACCCCATCTATCGGATTCTGTAAAAAAACCTGAAACCTGGAGATTTTTTAAGGTGAATAAAGCTCTGTCCATACTATTAAATTGTGATGATGTCATAATTATATCACAGATATTTGTCACAAAATGTGAGTCTGGACAATGCTTTATGTATTTAGTTTTGATTAGCATCACATATATATTTATAAAGAATACTCATTATGTTTGAAAAAAGGAAAACACCAGAAGGTTGGTTTATAGTTTACCTGAAAAATTCTCAGTTGACTAAACGATAAATTACTCTAATAACCAACCAAAGAAACAGTAAACTAACTATTCATGCTGAAGAAACCACAATAAATCTGCGGCTTTATTAAGGCTAATTCTGTAGTTCCTGATGATTGATGGTGCCCTGGCAAGTTTAGACAGTTTGCTCAAAACTTGATCGATTGTTCTATTATTGTATTTGATTCATCATCGTCTGTCATTCAGCATCCAGAAATGCTCTGGTTTGAACTTACCATTAATCACATCACCGCAATTTACATTGTTTTGTTTTGACTAAGCTGCTGGTTCACGGCCAGCGACATTCGTCAAATGATCTTTAACGATTGACAGTTAAAAAAACATGTTACTCTAAAATGTTTTCATGGTTTCCAGTTGATATCATTGATTTTGACAATGCTTCCAATGACCCGGTCAGTGGCCTTTCTAAATTACTTTTACTTTACCCCCCACAATTCCTTTCATTATCGCCCTTCAAGCACAACATAAGTATTAAACTCCAAGAAATCTATTGTTATTATTTACCCTATCCATTCACATGCAATATTTTTTTATAATTAAGAAAGCATAATGAAAGAATTGATTAATATTATCTTGATCTGTTAAACACAGACTCATGACTGTGTGGTTGAGACCCAGCCTAAAAACACTACCTTATTTTATCATCCTTGTCAAATACTGTATGTCTATTTCTTTATTGCACAAACATAAATGATAACAATGTTCCTGTTGTTAAAAAAAAAAAAAACATTAAAAGTTTTGAAACTTGTTGCATTCACTGAAAAATTGTGTAATTTGTACTTGCACTTTGAGAAAACTGTTTCCTAGTAGAGTAATGATAATGATGACGGTGAGGATGATGATGATGAGAAGAGTGTACCACTGGCTCTTTTAGTGAGTGAGTCAACCCTCCTGTAGGCCCCACCAATAATTTTTTAAATATTGTCAGGCAAACATCGGGGAGGCATGGATCATCAGTTGGTTGTTTTTGTCATCGAAGTTGCCAATTACAATCGGAAGGTATACAACATTACATTATAAAATGTCTCCCAGAACATAAAAAAATCTAATTTTTTTGAGAACCTTTTGGACCTCAACCGAAGATGCTTGTTCCACTCACAAGTGCTTGCTGGGGCCACCCAACATTCAAACTGTGCCACCTATGGAATGAACATGATGAAAATAGAACTTGCAATAATAATCATAACAAAATTATATTATTAACTTAAGGGAGAGAGATAGGGTTTAATGCAGTGTGTGAAAAGTTGTATGCATTATTGTGCCAATTCGAATATTATTAAGTATGCGTGGGTGGGGTGCGGACACAACATCCCCATCCCCCCCCCCCCCAAAAAAAATTTTTGAAATGGTCTTTTTTTAATCAATTATTTCACTAAACTCATTCATAATAATTGCAAAATGCTCTGGTATGCATTGCATTTCATTTGCCAGCTCTTCTACCCATGGATTTTTAATAACTGTTCTACGAAATTTATTGGAAGTTGATCGGCTCCAGTGATTGCAGAATGATCAATATGGACAATTTTTTCTGTAGTTGGCCTACAGATACAAAGGACATAAACGTTACTTCTTCAGATCCCCAACACCACCGGATGAAAATTTTAAAAGAATATTCGCGAATTATAGGTTTCAGAAATCCAGTATATAAGGCCCTCAAAACCCCCACCCTGCCGGGGCCCTAGGTGACATCCCAGCTTAAGGCTTGATTCGCTAGCAGAATGCATCCCCCCTCCCCATCGACAATCCTGCCTACAGGCCTGTGTAGGATTAAGAACCTAGAATATGAAGATTACTGGCTCAACATGCCAATGGTGGTGTTCATTTTCTGTACTGGGGTTGTTGCTAAGTTCCGACAAAACAACAGCGTATTTAGAAGACAGCGCGTATATTTTTTTTTCTTCAAGTGAAGCAATCCTAAAATAGGAAAAATTATGTGTTGACATACACTATGACTTCTCTGAACAGACAACGACCGTCGATCAAATCAACAAATTCCGGTCCGTGATTTCTTTAGTCTGACACTTCGATTGATAATGCCTGAGATTTTGCTGACTTTTGTGGTGTTTTAATATTCGGTTTCCTTAATCAAATTTTGGGGGTGAGTATGTCAGTGGATGGCTCCAGAAATTTGCCGACAGATGGTCCGACAGCTGGGTCGGAACCAAGAGGCCGTCTAGCGCCTCAGTCAGGGTCCTGGAATAAAACTTGGGGAGAGGTTTTTATGGCTTAGATGGCCCAAAACGTGTTATTAGACCACAATATTCGGATGGGATTGAGCAATCAAAATATCCTTATTTTGGATAAGGAAAATTAACATGTTGTTTGGTCCGACGACCAAGATGTGGCGTCGACGACAGGGTCCAGGTCATTCCGACGGTGGGGGAGGTCATTCCGACAGTGTGTGTGTGGGTGGGGGTTGACACATTTATGATTTGTCCCTCACAAATAAATCATTTTACGTTTCATCATGCAACTTTTACGTGTTGAAATTAGACATTGTAATAATAGGCATAGGCCAAATTATTATAACAAGGGCCTAATAATAATTATATTGTTGTCGATCTTTTCATATAGTTATAGATAGGAAGTTTCTACTTATTAGCTATAGCATAGCTGTTTAGCTGGCCTATAATAGGACTATTTTGGACATGTGCCTGTTCAATCAATGAAGAAAGTCACATGATTTCTATATTTACAAATTAGAATTATAAAATAATGAATTATTTAAAGCCACAGTGAGAACTAGTTTTTTACTGTACAGTACTTAAAAAATATACACTATATACCGGAAATCGTGGTTACGCAAGAGTAGGCACAGGTCCTTGCAGTGATTATACACAGATTTGGCTTCCGACGACCGACACGGTTGAATGCGTCCGCTGTGCTTTGCGTAAGATTTGCATTGCTGCGAACTATCGTAGACTTTCAACCACATTCTGAATAAATATAACAACACATGGATCAAGTGCGATCCATGGACCCCGTGTAAGTAGCTCAGGTCCAATATCTTCTACAGTAGTAAGGACCTCTAACGGGATATTCCATTTTCTGCACAGGTTATCCAATTATCTAAAGAATGTCAAACCTTATCGTCGTGCTTTGCGATCGCGAGAGGATGTAAACAACGATTTAACAACCGTATTGAGGATGTTCGTGGCTTATGATGGTATTTGTTTTTTTCGTAAGTGTATCATGTATTTAATAAAATCATATGTATTAATTTATAACCCGAAAACAAACGTTAATTTGATGGATCATTTAGGCCTAGCTAGGCTAGGACACCAGGCCTATATTACTAGCCTACTAGATGAGATCAAGCTAGCTTAGCTAGGCTGGCTGGTCTAGGCTAGGCCTAGAAGTTTACGCTTAGCCTAGCCTAGGCCTGGGCCCAAAACTGCTAGGCCTCTAATCTATCGAATACTGCCTCCATTCCTAGCTAGGCCCAGGCATGATATGGTCGATGTAGGGCTAGGCAGTCTGGGAGGTATACGTAGCCCCTCCTCCTTCTAATTGATTGTCAAACTCTGTCTACAGACAGTGTAGTAAAAAATGTAGTGATATTTATTAATAAACAGAACTGATGGGTCTATGCCTAGCACTGCAGGCCTATTTAGTATTTTGATAGCGCTGCAGTCCTATTATTAAATTGATAAGTTAAGTGTATGCTAGCCTAGGTCCTACATTTTGGCTATTAATTTTTAAGTGCTTTGTTGAATGATGTTAAATTTCCATTATATTTTATGTAGTAGTATAGGCCTTATTATTTATTGAAAGCAAATTTAAAAGTAAAAAATAAAATGTCCATATTAGTGTTTATTTAATGAAAGTCAAAATATATTATATTTTGTTTTGGTGAAAGAGCACAATTTACTATTTTGAGAATAATTTTAATGCCTTTTTTTTTTACAACAGTAACAACATAACAATATGACAGCTGTAAACTGGATTGGCTTCCTTGTTGCGAAATAAACGAGTTGTATTTCTGCTCTGAGTGATTGTGACTACCTTACTGCTTTTTGCTTCACTGTGATATAGTCAGTGTTGATGCAATTGCATTAGGGTCTTGACATATCACAATTTCAACTACAGTAATGTACCTACAACAGTTCTTATTCCCATTACGAAGCAGCTTTCAACTGAAGTTTTAAACCATATTACTACTGATACGAATGATGATAGTACTACAAGTAAGATATTTTTAAACATTTATACACACAAATATTTTACAATTACATAGTCATGATTATGTACAGACGTAATGAAATAGAATTTGAAATCTTAAAAACCGTAAAAATATGTATTTATAATTATTAATATGATCCATATCTTCAATTGGTTTTTGTTGGAATATAATTAATATTTCCTCACAGATACATGCAACTTATTTGATGTCAACATCACTTCTGGAACACTCTAAAATAAAGGAATAAATGTTTCGAGAGATTAATATTTAGGAAAACAGTTTTGCTGAAATTTTTATTATAAGTACAAAACTGGTGTCAGTGCAGCCTTTGAAAGGTACTTTCTTTCCAAAAATATAAATCAACAGTGATGTTGACATTTGCTTAATTTATTTAATGCTCTTGGATAATAAATATTTAACTGGTTTTTACCCCTTGGATTTTAAATGCATATTTTCTTTCATCCATGTATTAATTAACTTAAATCAGTAAACGTTAATCTTTTGTTAAATTGTGGCTGGTTTTCTTCATGAATGGAGAGAGGATGATGTTGATTCACTGATTCTGCCTATTGTACCACTGGAGCTCCACATGGATGCTCTTTTTCCATTACTGTTTCCATTATATCTAATTATTTTATACCTGTTAATAATGAAAGTTTTTTTTATATCAATTTTCCTGGGTTTTTTTTTTGTGTAGATATAATTAACTTAGTAGTTGTTTAAACATGACATATTAAACTGGGCTGTAACAAAGATAAGTTGAGCTCCAAATGTTAAAAAAGAAAAGTACTTCCTCATTAGGAAAATTTAATGTTGAGTGTAATGTTTTATCTGTTTAATGTATCTTTTACACAATCGGCTTCAATACTCAGCAGTGTGATTTGGTTCAATAATAAGGGGGAAAAAATGCTGGTAGTCCAACAAGCTAGTAAGATCATAGGTACCGGCGTTAAACAACCATGTAGGCAAGGACCCCAATGATACACAACTACCCAAATGATACAGAACTACTCGAATAAACACCCAAATGACAGGAAATTACCAAAATGTCTATACAGTAATTAACGTTGAAACCTTTTGAATTTTTAACATTAACAAGTATTTATTTGTCAGAATTGTTTGTAATGGTTTTATAATTTACTTAATCATTTAATAATAATAATAATAATACAGTACATTTTCGTATAGGCCTATGTATTTATATGATTTATTCTATTAATAGATGCTAATGATGTTTTTGTTTATTAATGTCATACGTGTTACTATATCATCAATAAATTTGTCCTAGTAAAACCACGAACGTCCTCAATACGGTTGTTAAATCGTTGTTTACATCCTCTCGCGATCGCATAGCACGACGATCAGGTTGGAAATTCTTTGGATAATAATTAGATAACCTGTGCAGAAAATGGAATATGCCATTAGAGGTACTTACTACTGTAGAAGATATTGAGCTACTCAATATCCTGAGCTACTTACACGGGGTCCATGGATCACTCTTGATCCCAACACATTAATATAGAATAGAAAGTGGTACAAAAGTATTTCTTAGGCGTAATATCCAAAGATGACGTGGGAGTTACCTTCCTCCTGTTATCGTGTGCATATACAACGACGACACGCTTGTGTAGTTCCAATATTATATCACGTGGTATTTGTACGGTTCTACCAATTGTTTAATTAAAATCACCTTTGTGCGACAGGAGCCGAAATAGCTCAGTTGGGAGAGCGTTAGACTGAAGATCTAAAGGTCCCTGGTTCAATTCCGGAGAACCCGCTTGGGTTCTGAATATTCCCGGGTTTCGGCACCATTTTTTATTTTTATAAATCACGGTAAGAAGATTTGTATCTGAAAGTAAAATCGTGAATAAATATATATTTATTTTTGCTTGTGAATTTTTTTTTTTAATGTACTTGCACAACCTCTTTATTTTTTTAAAATTATCTGACATTAAACTTCCTGAATGTGGCCTGCTGTTTTTCGGCTGATTTTTTTTTGTGATACTATTTTAGTGTATTTACTGTAAAATTATTAGAGTATATTATTAGATTGTGCAAAGATTTGTTAGTCTTGAAAGTGCTACCATTTTACTGCGCAGCATGGGAAAGGTCATGCGGAGTTGATACGGTACTGTAAGAGGAATGTTGGTTGAGCCGGCCAGGGGAACAGTGAATTGAGCCGGCCATCTGTAATTTAGTTTTACTATTTTGCTTTTTGATGGATTCTCTTGTATTTTATCTTGTTTGTTGGATTTTGTTGATTTTTAATATTTTTGTGTTAGTATACTGCTGTAATTTTATTTTTAATTCATATTTTTTCCGTGAAGAACCTAATTTCAGGCCTTAATTTTCCTTTTTATGAATGCACCGCCTACGCGGCTGAGTACCATTGATATATAAAAGTGTATATCCAATGTGTGTATCGAAATAAATAATATTGATAATAATAATAATAATAATTATTATTATTATTATTATTATTATTATTATTATTATTATTATTATCTGTTTTCATTAACTGTATTTCAAGATAAAAAATAAAATGATAAAATGGATCATACTGCATGTTATTGAACTGCCATACTTGCGTTTTATAGAATACGTACTTGACTCAAGTTTGAATTGTTATTGAGAAACGTATGCATTTTTACATTGCGGGTGTTAACTAGCTCTTTTATATCATGTATGTGTTTTACTTAGGTTTAAGAACGTGCTTTGATATAAGATGGAATGAAAATTAATTTGGAAGATCTACACTGTGAACAGCCGCGCTTTCTTCATCTTTGTATCCTTTGCCTTCGTGATGACACGGGCGCCTGTAAATTATGCATTTATCAGGGGCGGATCCAGAGAGGTCCAAAGGGTGTGGGGGTGAAAGTTGGGCCGACGAGACAACACCATAATAGGGGGTCCGGGTGCATGCCCCTCGAAATTTTTGTGTTCTAGACGCCCGAAAATAACATTTGAGGCGTTCTGGGCTATTATTATTTTTTTTTCCCTTTTTTTTTATCTCCAAAAAGTGGGGGTTGGTCCCGGGCCGCCCCCTCCCACTCTAAATCCGCACCTGTTTATTGTTATTATTATTATTATTATTATTATTATTATTATTATTATTATTATTATTATTATTATTATTGTTGTTGTTGTTGTTGATAGAGGCAGTAGAGATAAAAAAAGATCTATTAATCAATCAGCCTTATGAGGGCAGTATAATGGAGGCAGTAGATTCCCCCCCCCCTTTTTTTTTATCTCCAAAAAGGGGGGTTGGTCCCGGGCTTCCCACTCTAAATCCACTCCTGTTTGTTATTATTATTATTATTATTATTATTATTATTATTATTATTATTATTTTATTATTATTATTATTATTATTATTATTATTATTGTTGTTGTTGTTGTTGTTGTTGTTGATAGAGGCAGTAGAGATAAAAAAGATCTATTAATTAATCAGCCTTATGAGGGCAGTATAATAGAGGCAGTAGATCTAAAAAAGCTTTATTAATCAATCAGTCGAGTGTTTCTCTAGAGCTACGGTACGGTACTCATCGAACTAAAAACACTCGCTTTTAGTAATAAAAACAAGTAAATTCATAGGTTGTGGCAAAACATATTCTGCTCTTTAATGTTTACTTTACTGGAAGTAATTTTCTAATATATATACATCACTGAAACAAATAAAACATCCTGAAAAATGGAAAATCCTCTCCACCAATGAGTTCTTTTTTTACAAAATGATTTTTAATCATGTATAAAATTATATTTTAAAATAATAAAAAAAATAATGGCATTATTATACTGCCAATATTAATTTATAAAAAAAATTAATATTAAAGCAAAATATTTTACAAATACAAATAAATGAGATTTCAACGTAGTTTTGTTAAGTGTAGGTTGTCGAAACAACAATACAAATTATATTCGTATTGATATTAAGGTATTTGTATGGAGAAGATAATGATATAAATTAATTGTGTGAATCGTTATAAATATAAACTTAACTATAAAGATTGTCTGCTTGTTTGTAATGCATTATCTAAGTCTCCGTCTAAGTCATCGTCATCAGAATGTGTTCTTTGTTTTTTCTTCTTGTCTGGTAATTTTCTCCGGTGTATCTGTGTGGTTGTCTTTTCCTCTTTTGGTGCTTTACACGTGTGTACGTCAACTGTTTCAGTGCACTCTTTACATCGCACAAAGCAACACCAATGAAATTTACACTCGCACTTTGTTGTACGTGTCACACGCGCGGTATTGTAGCCTCGCCCACAGCACATGATGTCACATCCGTCTGTAGATTGGGACGTTTTATTACATACGCGACCTGCTGTTCCTAGTGAACCTGAAAGAGAAATAAATCATATACTAATAAACTAATTAATAAATAAATCAACGTAAAATACATAGCCTGAATGCACATGTAATTCATTGAGCAAAATATAGGCCAAGTCTTTCTCTTGTGTCACGCTTTGGTAGTGAAGTTTTACGGTAGTTTCTTACCTGTTTTGTGATTCATGACGCAGTAATCGGGTGAACTTTCGAAGTAGACTAAATCTGATTTTGTAGGCGTTTTGTGGTTCTTATTGGCAACTATTATACCCGTACTGTCCTGATTCATCATTATCTCCGTGGCGCTGTCGTAACGTTTCCTCAGTACTGTACCTACTTTATTGAACTCGGTCATTGCTAACCAACAGGTTCTTATATTACAAGCTCCGCTCACTCCGTGGCATTTGCATTGCAGTTTCATCGCACGAATAACCGCCTGTACAAGAATCACATCAATATCTATTATTAATATTTATAGGCATGCTATTGTAATTTTTCATATGGTTTTTAAAAAAAAGATAGATATAGAGTAGTGTGGTGCCAGAGGAAACGCGTTTTCCTCATGCATTTTATGAAAGCCTTTTTCCATAAAATCGCTACGCGCAACATTATCGATGACAGATTTCGGTGACACTGATTAGTCGGTCGAATCGGGAAGCCTTCCCGACAGTGCGTTGGGGACAACTCGCAGTGCAATGCCTGTCCGAGTTAATATTGTAGCAAGAGTGTAGCAATTTTATGGAAACATATCTTAATCTTGGTTCACACTATTATTTAAACGCGTGATGCAACATTACTACGCGTACACCTATGCCAATAACGACAGTCATTTTTCAGTTTAAACCACTTAAAATTAGAGGCATTCTGCTGTGTAGATCCAAGTATGTACAATCGTGGTTAAATGTGCAAAACAAGTTAAACAACGACTTTTCAGTGTAAAATCTTTTTTTTTTCGACGAAACCTATCATGTTATGCACACTCACCCTTCGCCCCGCCCTGTTGTTATGAATATTCATAAGGGCTTTTGCATCACTTTGTTTCTTTTCCTTCGCATCAACGAACTGTTTGGTGAATTCAGATGCATATTGAACGTTATCGCTGCAGCCTCCCCACTCGAAGGGCCCATACTCGTCCTTCTCGGTTCCACGTTTTTCTGGATCACATGCACAGTCTAATAGATCTCCCTTGCTACACGACCGCGTAATAGAATGCACTACGCCGGCAGATGATATCGAATATACAAAAGCCGCTTCCCTGCTGCCAGCTGTAAAAACAAAAATAACAAAATCAAAAATAATATTTTGAAATTAAAGTTATAAAGGGTGCTAAGCAGAATGTCAATTTCCTATTTTAAATGCATATTGAATTTCAGATATGATTTCATTATTAGTCAACACTTTGAAGTTCGTTGCTTCTTGCAATAATTTGTTATACTCAGTTAGCGCATTCCCCCTCCCAAACGCTCACCCCTCCCCATTGAAAATCTTCGAAACAAAAAAATCACGGTCAAGTAATTAAAAATCACCTGATTTTGGGAGCTGTGCGCCCTCCACCTAATCAACTCCACCCCACACTTCACCTTCGTTTCCCCATCACCCCCCCACCTTCCCTTATTTCAGGTACACAACTGTGGTTACGTAAATCAGGGAGTTTGAAGCTGGCATAAATGTGAAAGCTTGTATAATAATACCAATTAGTTAGCTAGAACAGAGAGGTTACCGTACACCTCCACGGCTACAGACTGGTACTGGTACGGGCATTTATAATGCGCCTCTTCTTTGCGGTTATAAAGCGCAGTTCTTTTCCCTGGTCATTGGGTCCACATGCTAAGTGTTGCTGCTGGTAATCAGCGCAGGAGCAGCGACACTCTATTCTCTAGGTCTATATTATCTATTGCGTTAAGTAAATTAATACTGGCGACCATTTAATTCCAATATATTGTATAATGCAATATTTTATATTGTTTGTATATCTCCAAAAACACCTACCAGAATCAAGATACGGTACCGCACCATACCTAAATTTCCACAGCATTTATATTACAAGTATACCGTAGAGGCTGTGATAGTCTTATTAGAGGCCTCGTCTCCGTCTAGATAGTCATTTGCATCGATAGTGTTTTGGTGGATTTCAAAATATAATATTTGTCATTAGGCCAATGTCGAATTATTTATTTAGGAACAAATAGTTTGGTACGTGGTACCGTAATTCAGTATTTTTGAAGGGCTGGAGCTGTATCGATGCTGTGCTCCAATATCAATACGAATTAATGACGGATGATTTTAATTAGATGAAGGACATGGAGTAAAGGCAGAAAAAAAAACTTAGAACGAGAGAGGCGGTAGAAGAAAGTACTGAATGACAGGTTTAATGTTGTCAGGACACTGACTTGTATCGATTATTTTGTAGTTCAACAAATTTGTTTGTCTCAAAACGAACTACTTCAAAATGATCTGTCTATTTGGATTTAAGAGTTTCATGCATTATGTACGCAGTACGAATAGGATTAGTCTGTATTCTCGACGGATTAGAGCATTTATTTAAGTTGGCTATTTTCTTGGCTTCTTTGTCAACAATGACAGGAGGTAAAGTGAATGGTGATTGGCCGAAAATGAAGCTATGTTGCACTCCTTCTGTTCTTTTCGCAGGCAATTTTTTCAACCTCTTCCCGATCTAGATCATGTAGAGCATGCTATAGCGAATAAAGCCTAAAGGGCCGGCTGACAATACTTGGTCTGATTGGATTAATTAACTATAGCATTGTATTATTTCGTGCTCGTCTATAGCATTTTCCAGCAAGTTTTAAACGCCAAACTAAATTGTTAGAGATATGATATGAATAAATGAAGAAACACCTTGTGAATAGTCTTACGGTAACTCCGTCAATAGGCCTATTACTATCTTTCTTATTTTTTTGACTTCGAGTTTGATGAATTTCTGTCTCGTCGTTTAAAGTAAAAATGCCAGCTCTACAGACTACGAATCAAAACATCAGGAATAAATTGTACAATCTTCCGTCTCATTGATCTAAGCCCTATGCTTGATAGCAGCTGTGTATAGGCAAATGATGAGTAAAAATATGATGTGAACTATATCATTAGGTGCTTATCACGTATTATATGTTTCACATACACAGATAATTGGTTCATAGATGATATACTGACTGTATGTACTTCTGTCTCATATGCCTCCTTTAGACATTAATACTTATGCTCCTCTATACTGGTCACTACCGTATTATAGTCGAATGGAATCAACAAGAAATTAAATAAAAACATGTTAATCGCCTTAGTATGTCAAATACTGGTGGCCCAAGTCTTTTGGACTATAATAATAGGCTTAGTAAGTAATTCGCAGGCCATGGAATAAAACAGTAACATTGACAAATAACCACATCATTACACAGTCAGCCCCAACACATAGCATTGAGGTCCGGCAAATAAAAGACACTAATTACAATTAACAAGATTTATTAGTAGTCAAAATCAATCACAATCCAGCCTCTTGTACGCTTGTCATCCTAATACAAAAACTCAATTTAGGGAGGCCCTGAAAGGACACTGATAATATTTGTCTTTAGTGGTCGATCCCAGTTTTTCCTTGGGCAAAAATAAATACCGCTGAAATGCTGAAAACTAGCTTAGCTTTTACTGAACAATCGAAGTTTTAACTGATGTTTTGTTTCACTGAAAGTCTAGTAATTACATGGGCTATTTATCAACAAGGTTGTAAAATCGGTGGTCCTTGAACAGCTTAATAATCCTAACCGAGTAAATAGAAAATACAGTAATGCAGTTTAACAACAATAGGTTCATGTTTTGTTGGAATACAATGAACTGATGAGTAACGTAAAATGTTGGGGATAAACTTCAAGTTGCCACTGATCAAAAAAACAACTGAACAGTCTAGCGGTGGATGATCCAGGGACCGAAGGACTGAACATTTTATCTCGATAGTTAAGCGCACAGTTACTCCAAATGTTTAAAAACAATAATAGTAATAACAGTGCACTAAAAGATTACTTGTAATATATATGTAGGTATATATATATATGTATATATATATATATATATATATATATTTATATATATATATATATATAGGCCTATATATATAATTATATGTATATATTAATAGATATATTAATATATTAACTTTTTACGCCGAGAAATATACCTTTATTAGCATAGTCTAGCAAAAACAATCCGACTGGAACATCATTGAAAGTTATAAAACAATTCTACCTTGGCCGACTTCCAACCTAAATCCTCGCCCCAACCGCTGTACCTTCTGGGTGTTTGCGTACGGATCGTCGTACCTTCAGGGTGTTTGCGTACGAATCGTTATCCAGCACCTATTGGTCCTATTTCCATTACTCTCCAACAAGTTCACGACTGCCACCATGCCAGAATAATGTTATTTTAAGAAAATTCCTTCCTCCTTAGACCTAACCTAGTTTTCTTCTCCAATAGAAAGCGATACATTGAAGCAAATCGCCAAGGACAGCTGGGTGCGAGGCATTTGTATATCATACGCGTTGTATATTTATATTGTAATATTATAGGCCTAGCTTTTTCTAGATTAGTTGGGTATCGAGTACAACTTCTGAGCAATAAAAACGCTAAGTAATACCGTACCAGAGAAACGCTAAGTTTCTGGCTGTTAAATGATGCCCATATCGATAGTGGAACTTTTCAGAGTGTCAATTTAACAACTGGCCAATCAGAAGTAACTGGGCCAAGAATACGCACATGTCCCAAAAACACGCATATTTACGTGTACGCTTGTCGTTTTTGGGACCTTACCCAACATGACGGAGCTTAGCGGATAGGTCCATTCCATTGGAATTGATATTGGATTCCAATAAATAATAATAGGATTTATTTTTTTGTATGACAAAATAAATTATATAGTCTGATAATGTCATTGTCAAAGTACAAAATGTACAGGTATGTGCGATTTGTATACATTTGGCCTTTGTCTTCTTTTCGTTATCATAGGTTAATGTGATGTCTTGTATAACGAGTTATGATGAGGATAGTTGGAGGTTACATAACCAATGGACTTAATCTCGAGAGCCCATCTCGGATTGAAGCCAATTTAGTTTGCAAAAGTAGCCTCGAAAAGAAGACTATCCAAATTTCGCAAAAAAAAAAAATAAATAAATAAATAAAATAAAAATTAAAAAATCCCAGGGCTTTTATTCGAGGTTTTACAGTATATAGATAGTTGGAGTTTTTTTTTTTTACAAGTATACAATTTAAGCAAGTGTGCCCCTTGGAAATGGGCTGGACTGTCCTCTGTCCATTTAAATCTCTTCTTAAAAGCCATTTTAAAAATCTGACTTGTTGATAAAATGGCCCCGAAACTGCTAAATACCGGGATGGTGTCCGGTGGGAGATAGTTTAACCAATTGTAGTTAAGAGTAAAATATTGTATTTAGGAGTAGTTAAGCCTAGCTTAAGGTAGTTAGAGACGTCCTGGGTACGACATTAAACTCCATCCTCCAAACTCCAAACTGACAACCCTCTCAGATATGTCTTAGTGGCTGCTGAGGGGAGGGTGTTTATGGTCACCAAGCAGCAAGAAAAACCAATAGCTGAACAAAGGGCGGATGAGCTCCTGGGTGTCAACGGCCAACCATTAATTATTTTAAGGAACATGAGTAGTTTACTCTCATTGCTGTTATTGTTATTATGATTTTTTATTTTTTATTTTATCTTACTGTTATTATTTTATTGTTATTTGTATTTTCTCGGTTGGCCTATATTATTTTCTATGGGGCAATGTGCAATATGCGCTATATAAATATAACATTATTATTATTATTTTTATTATTATTATTATTATTATTATTATTATTATTAATGGGCGTTCCTGATGCTCAATAATTTTAACTTTTTTGTTCACAAAGCATTCTTTCTTGTGTGTGCTTGTTGAGCATCGAATAAATTCAATCAATCTGTCAATCAATCAATTATTGTATAAAGTCATTTATTGTAGGCCGAGGTCTATAATATGGTAGGTTAACGGGCGATCATTGATATCACAACTTGTCATCTAGTATTTCCCCGAGGAGAAAGCAACGTAGATTCAGCTGTAACCAGTATACATGTTATATTTTAATGAGGCATCCTTTTCTAAAAGACTTTTTCCTTTTTTTTAATTTAAAAACACTGAAAGAGGGTGAAACTTCATGTAATTCAGATTAGGCTTATTAGTCCTATTTTAGAAAGGCAACATGCTGTATGCCGACTTCAACAGAAAAAAAAATAAATTGAATAACAGAGGTTCTTAACAAGTGGAAATAGAATATTGAGACTAAAAGTCAATGGGATGGAAGATAATGATGAGAAGGATAGAAGATACAAGGATAATATTTATAATAATTGTGAAATTATCGCTAATTATGACTAATTATAGGCTGAAATAAATTTAAATTTATTACGTAGGTATATGAACATCTAATTAATTACAAGAACTAATTTAAGCGGGAACACTTATATACTAGTAAAATTTGTAAAGCCTTGAAGTTTCTCTGTTCACAGCTTTGATGTCACCGACACCTTCTAAAGTCGGATTGAGTGTTATAGTTGTGAAACGATGTCATGTAATGCAATTAACTTGATCGGGATGCACAAATAAGTGATTTGTAAGTGACATTTTCAAAACAATATGACCGTGTAAACCTTTTTTAGAACTACAATAACTATAGATAATGCAATTAAGAAAACTATCAAGTGTCTTATTGATTGAAAATCAATAAAGCCAAGTCAGTATTTTCATCATGTTAGATCTATCTCCCATGGCTTCTTCCATTGTAATAACAATGCATTGTTTTAATCTAACATTCTCCCACTTTCCAATGGATGTGATCCTCAGAAAAAGCTTTACCAAAAGTAGCTTAAATGTACAACATTGTAATGGGGGAGTTGGTAAGGGCCAACTTTTGCTAGGGGCGACGTTTGATACTGTAAATAGCACTTACAGTAATTATAAATTTCACCTTCCCGTGACGCTTCTTTAGCAATCATGACGAGAATAATGTCATGATGACAACTTTTTTGCGGGCCACCGCTATTTCGGAGCACCTTGACATGATTCAAAATGCATTTGGAGCCTTCCCTATATTTCATTGTAGGCCTAATGTTTTATAATACAGTAGAACCCTTCTTAAGTTGACACTTCGGGACCAGAAAGTGTCTACTTAAAGGTATGCCTCCTTAGTAGGGTGTCGAATTAACAGGGGTGTCCCCTGAATAGGGTTTGGTTATAGTGTTAATGCCGAATAGCTCCCCTTAATTATTATTAAGGCCCTACCAAAGAGTGGCTCTACTCTAGCTATATCTTTTCACTTACTTTTTAACATCACTTTGCCGAAAACTGTGGCATCCCCCTCAATTGTTGAACAGTTCCATCGATCCGTTACAAACTGGTTCTGACATTCTTCGACGCCAACCCTAGCACCACCTCCCAGGCTGATCATCACGTCCGGGTTGGCACGGCATAGCTGTCTTTGTTTTCCGACCAGGCCAGGGATATTCTCGCATAATATTCGGGAGCCCACGCTGCTCAGTTGTGCCACATACCTTTTCAACAGAATTTAAAATAATTCGATAATCATTTGAATTACCAACATTTAAACATATGACAGTAATGTTCTTCACTGTTATTCACTGTTGTCCTTCACTGATGATTATTAATCATCAGTAAAGGAAATATGAAAGTAATGTTCTTCACTGATGATTAATAATAGTAATAATATGTAGTCAATAATAGTATTCAACTAAAGACTAGATGAAATTCTTCCAAGTGTTCATGATAATAATAATAATATTAATTATTATTATTATTATTATTATTATTATTATTATTATTATTATTATTATTATTATTATTATTATTATAAATGGTAACTTTTCAAATTCATTCCGACTGCATTTCTTATAACATTGTAGTCTAAAAAAGCTCAATTTCCACTACTCTAACCCGGAAAAAAAACTCGCCTCTTGACCTAAGAAGTGAGCTCCAGTCGACCCCTTGGTTTGGGCCCTTGTCTGACTTATTTTAGCCCCATTTGGCAAATTCCTGAAGCCATGGCCACTGTCACAAGCCCATCCAGTACTACCTAGAGTACCTTCTAGTCCAACAGCTGTGAAAATCAGGGTTAAACTAACAGTAGTAAGTCTACCGTGAAAACTTGAATGTGTATCTATAGATAATAGGATAATCTGTTGTTTTCCAGCTCCGCATATTGTAATGTTTTGAGATCGCTAGGTGCTTAAATTGTGTTCGATGTATTTACAAAAAACAAACAATAAATGTAAGTCGGTCGACGCACCAACCAACATATGGCTAACGTCATTAGTCACTTCGCACCTTTCGTGTTACCAAGTACCCTATGTGGTGTTGCTAACGAAAGTTTCTTTATTCAGGGGAAAATGTTAGGAGAGGGAATAACTAGCATTTTGTCATCAAAGGACGATAGTGAAGACAAAGAAAACAACCCAACTGAACAAAAATAAACACTACTTGACCTAACATTGGTATACGCGACTTTGTTTTAAGCCTACTTTTGAGAAAAACTTTTTTTTTGAAATAGCTGCGTTCGACTTTTAATGCAGGATCAGGTTAGAGATAATTATGAATTTGCGGCGTGTACTTATTTAATTCATAGAATAAATTAGCGGATCCACTTTTGACTTTTATTAAAGTCAGGCTCCGGAGGAAAAACTATTTTTGATATGTTGTAGAACTGATTTTTCCAAGACAGAAAAAAAGTTGTCTGACAAAAAACTGGGGAACGGTGAATGAGATAAAGATTTGTTAATATTTAAAAACTGGGGGAAAAAGGGGCGTAACCGCCCTTTTTTACACCTTTTATATATAAAGATAGGCCTATATAAAATATATATTATAATATATTTATAGATAAGATAGGCCTTTATATAAATCGCCCTAAACAAGTCATCTATGGGACATAGCATTTTAAGGTCTCAAAATGACAGATATGATCGCGAAGTAGAGAGGCAAAAACAAAAAAATCTATTGCTGTAATGTAATAGATTTTATTATTTGTATATAATATATAATTATCAATATATTATGATTTATTCATTTTCTAATTATTTACAGCTAGTGATTGAAGGAATGGAATCATGACACTAGAATTACGGATTTCAGGATTGTGACAATATGTCTTGAGTCACGATATCGACTTAAAGAAAAATCAATAACTTATAGATTTTCCTTCGACAAAGTTAATGTGTTTTTTAATGTAGTATAAGCCACAGGTTAATGGATTCACTGGGGCGTTACATGGCCCAACTCGCTCTATTAATAGGTTTCTGTAAATAATACACATTAGATATTTAATTTATAGCTGTCTTCATTTGTTATCTAGGCCTATAATAGAAACGGATATTTTATTTTATATGATCTCGTATATTTTTTCCACTGTGCATGGAGCACGCAATGATACGTGTAACGTGGTGCGCAATCGTCGCAAGGTGATATACGGTATGCTATGTGGTATATATACTGTCTCTTATACACATCTAGATGTGTATAAGAGACAGGTTATAGTGTTATATACAATATTATATACATTATGTTCACGCGATCGCTTACCAAGTGGTGATTGTATAGGCAGTAGTACGGTAATGATATACGGTATGGTTCGTTAGCATCACAGTTGGCTTTCATGTGGGGACATGTCATGATTCTCTTTAGTATTCTTCACTTGTCACCATAACTAATTGACACTATTGGTTTATAATAGCTGAAATGACTTGAATGTTATTGCTATGTTACCGATACTGGCAATGTTAAATGAGTTGACGCGTCTCGTCAGTTCAATAGGTTACGACATTTAGAATTTACGCGTCGCGAGGCGTTGAGAGAATGCGTCAAACGTATAAGAGAGAATGACGCAAATAACACCAGAATGGAGTTGAACAAATATGATTACAGTGAGCCTGCTTTTTATAGACCAGTAGTAGCAGTTCGTATGCCATATTTTACATTGTTCTGCACATTTTGGTCGAGTCTTGGGAATTGTTGTGACTATTAATTAAAATACCTAAAATAATGAAATTAGTCCCAGTCCTAGAAAATTTGGTCTGGACCCCCGGAGACCCAGCCCCAAGGCAGTACAATATGGGACAACTGCCCTTTTATGAAAAGTGTTGCGTTTGATAAGGTGCACCTGAGCCTGAGAGAGCTACATAGTCATGGTATAGTCTAGCATTATCCTATATTTTTTGTAATATTGGCTTTTGTTTTAAAAGTCATTGAAAACAATTATGTTTTTTTTAATAGATCCTAATACTAGGAATATATTTGCTTCTGTTTCGTTTATTGTAGGTCTAGTTAGGTTACATCTTTGCACCTGTGTAAGCTTATCATTGTGCATTTTCCTTGTTGTAGTGCCTTATATTATTTAAAAGAGCAAAATCAATTTCATGATAAGTAATTTCCTTAGCTAGCAAGTAGAATAATCAATAGTAGTAGATTGTTTAACAACTAAAATAGTTCTTCTGTAAACTTCAGTTTAGTGCTAATATGCTTTTTTAATCAGCTGGCGTTAGCAATACTTCTTTAATAATCAATCGGTGTTAACAATACTACATGTCGTATATTTTATAATAAGTTCGGTTTTCTATCGATACACGTCAATTGATATTTTATTCTGGCTAAGCATAATAAAAACAGTTTGTATCTGCTGCAAACTATTTAGACTCGTTTTAAAAGTCTGAATATTCAAATATTTTGTAGTACGATCAAGTGATTTTTATCCTTTGTCATATTTTATATATTAAACAATTTCATTATACTTACCACCACATCGAGGTTGTTTCTGATGGAAGAATAAGGAATACCAGACCAAAGGTTAACACGATCCTTAAAAAGATTTTCATCGTCTTGTTCTGATATATTCCAAAGCCACGAGAATGGCAAAATTATTAGGAGCAAGTTATGATGTTACTTTTTTCAAGGAGAAGAAGTCAAGTAGGCATAAGCCTATACCAATACAACTAATATGATATACGGTACTAAAAACTGCCTGGCGAGCGACACCACTACTATAAGTCCCACATAATAATGGGTACGTCATTCAACCTCAGCATTTTATTGGCTGACTGACATCTTCAAAGACACCGCTACCGGGTATTTAACTAGCCTAGGTGTATCTTAAGGATGATACATGGTGAAGCAATAATCAGACAGCTTAGATACGAGTGTAAGTTAGAGTAAATACTGTGTTCTAGTCCCCTCCCCCATCGTTTTGTGGTCCGCCTCTTGTTTAAAAATGTCACAAGGTAGAATACGGGCCCAGGAAATCGAATCCAAAACCTGTAAGTTTTTAAGCCTGTGGCAGGTCTAAAGTCTGTATGGCATATATATATATATATATATTTAAACATGCAAAAGTATGTATAAAATCTAGTGTTCAAATGTATATCTTCCTGGTTTAAGCAATTTCAGGTCAAACACAGCCAAAAATGACTTTTTTTTATATATTTCTAAAATTAAACGATCATTCATCATCGTTTAAACATACTGTCAAATTAGGACCACCAGGTGAACACACACAAACGAAACAGTATAATTTCTCAATAGCATTTCTTCTCTAAAAAACAAGCGATTACATTTATGAATCAGAACCTTCATCGATACTTACGTTAATCATCGCAATAATTTGTATCCTCCTGTGTGTTTACAAACTTTCTGATAGTGTCACCATTTTGTCTCCAGTAAGATCTACCCTAGCCCTCCATCCATCACCACATTGCCTCTCGTGCTGAGAGGGTTTATGCCCCTAGCCTAAACATCAACCTGTCACAAATTAAACACATCATTCTCCTGATAGAGTATATCATCAATTGCAGAACGAGCATCTTGACAGGCACATCCATTGGATGATGTTTTTTCTACAGTATTCCTACACTCTGGTGATCGATCTAGTATGCGATCCGTCATTTTGATCAATGAAGGAACAATAGGATCTAATAATAATAATAATAATAATAATAATAATAATAATAATAATAATAATAATAGTTAATCATAATAATGATAATAATAATAATGAAGATGATGATGATGATAATAATAATATCTGTAATAATATAATAATTATAATAACAATAACAATAATAATGATAATGATAATGATGATGATGATGATAATAATAATAATAATAATAATAATAATAATAATAATAATAATAATAATAATAATAATAATAAAAAGAACATACAAATTAAAATATATATGTGTTTTGAGTTTGTTTGAATGTGTTGATGTTAGTTGCTTGTCGAATTTCGATTGGTAAGTAATTCCAAACTTCAACTGAAGCACAGAGAAATGATCAATTCCATAAATTATCGGATAATGAATATAAACCGTAGGCAGAGTGTACACAATTGGCTCATGTGTACTATAAAAAAAAACCCAGTCTTCACGAGTGTGGGGGGGGGGGGTTACCCCAGTGTACTGGTCCATACATCCCCTGTTATGGACAGGCGAGAGTAGCTGGTAACAAGATACCTGCCAGCTCAGACACGAAGTGACCCTTAGGGGAGAAAGCAAGCCCGTAGCCAGCGGGGTTCGTTGGGTTCGAAAGAACCCCCCTTTTCATGAAGTGCCCTTTCAACAAAGGCTGGCTAGCCTACACTTTAGGCCAAAGCCTAGAGCCTATCATCATTAAAAGTCCTATTTTAATACCCGATTGTTAGGCCTACCTACATAAACAATTCAGGCCCCGAAACCTTGACTCAGAAATACCGGGATGGTGTCCGGCGGGGAATAGTTTTACCTGTATATATATATATA